TGAATGTCCATTTCTTTTCTCAGTCTTTGAATATTTATTGAACAGTTTGTCATCCTGGAACCACATAAACCTATGTAGTAAATTCTGTGTAAAGACTTTAATTTTAAGACATTTTTACATTTATCATGTGATTTTTTTTTCTTTACTTTGCAGCCAGTTACATTTTACTGCAAGAACAGAATACTTAAAATCTGGAGTCATGGAAGTACAGCCACTAATTTACTATAGGATGAGTGCTTATGATGATAAAGATATATACTTCTCCAGGGGAAAAGGCAAATAATTTTAAAGAATATGCAAAGTTAACTATGATCCTTTTAAATTGTTCAGCAAAAGTACTTATTTCCAAAGCTTTTTTTTTTTTTTGCTTTCTTTTTGACATTTATCATCCTGTCCCATATGGCCAAGTAATAAAAGCTCCCTTCTCCAGAACTGAAACCATCTAGTAAAATGAATAGCAAGATAGATTTAGACAAAACTTTGTTTGACACTCATTTAATGGTCTTTTCATGATCCACCTGGATTACACTATAACGTGACAGCAGAAAGCAGAGACTAATTTAGCTTCTGAAGTTCAGTCAGCATGTTGTCTGTGAGCCCTTTAATGAACAGCCATAGGATGGCAACAGGCAAGTCTTTATTCAGCATGGTCCCTGTCTTAACCCAAATGAGGAATCACCCTTACATGCAGCTCCCAAGTGAAGTGATGCTATTTAGAAATTGCCTTTTTGACCTCTTACAGTTTGAGTGTGGGGCTTTTACCTCCCTGCAGGCCTGAAAGATTTTTTCTTGATGGTACGCTGTCACTACAATGAAACCAGAAAGTTGCTGGAGTGTAATAGCAGATTATTACACCATCAGAGAGGGTTTTGCAAGCGCTTACTGCAGCTCTGTGAATATGAGTTGGCACCCAAGCATCCTCTTCTTTATCTTTGCCCCTTAGAACCACCCTGGTCTAAAAATAATTCATGAAAATAATGAAAGAAGGTAGAGATTGACTCGTAGAAGTTCTGAGCTAAGGATGACCACTCATTTAAAAAAAAAAATAAAGAAAAAAAAAAAAGAAAAAAAAGGAAAAAAAAAATAAAGTATGTTTATGAAGAGAGCATGCTTTTCAAATGAACTATTGAGATAATTGCTTACTTTGACACTGCTAGGACGCAGTCATGAGGAAGAAACAGACTCGTTTTCTCAATAAGAACTTTGGTCAGCATTGCTAAGAGAAGTAAGAAATTCCAGAGGAACACCATAACAGAATTCTCTAAATGTCCATTTCTTTTCTGTTCAGGAGAAAACAGCAGTGAATTGTGGGGGTTCTCAGATGTGAAATCAGCCTCTCTCTTAAAAAGCAGTTTCTCCCAGAGAAAGAAGCAGTATCCTGATGTTTGACCTTTGGTTCAGACTACTAACACTAGATGCAAACATTCTTGAAAATTACATGAATAAAACCACATTTACTTCATCAGTAAGGTTGTGTTGAATGAAGTTTCAGAGCACCTAGATCCCTATGAACATCTTCATCCATGTGAACCTGAATTTAGACTTCACAATACCAAGCTCCATGAACAGATGTAGTAGTGGACAAAAATCTACCCTGTTAGACAGAAAAATTGTCCTTGTTAGGAGAAAAAAGGTTTTGCTGCATTATATACAGAGCCTAAAGAACATATATAGAACCGTTATCCAAAGACCTCAGTCTCCTAGAAATAAAACATGGCTTCTCCCCCGCCATATTTGTAGATAATCTTCCTGATGAGTATCACTCATCCTAGTTAGTGCATTCATGGACAATCTGTTTTTTAAAGATTTCCTGGTGAGAACATTGGTCAAATCCTCTTAGAAATATAACACATTGTAAATGATGTCCCAGCATCAGGTTTGGCATTTTTAAGATTTTGTCCTCTCCCTTAACTCTACCTTGTCCCCCAGACATAACACAGCAAGAAAACAAAATCACACAGGTGCAAGCTCCTAACAGCATGAGATATCTTACATATTGGTCACATAATCCAGGGCAGAACTCCATCTGGTTGAAGCTCTGTGTAGATGTGACTACAGGAAGCTTGCTGGATTGCAGTAAGAAAAGATAAAAACAAAAACAAAACAAAAAAAAAGAGAGAGAGAAAGGAAAAAAAAGAAAGAAAAAAAAAGAAAAATAATCATCAGCGGGCCCAGGAGATAGAATCATAGAATGGCTTGGGTTGGAAGAGACCTTAAAGATCATCTGGTTCTAACCCCCCTGTCATGGGCAGGGATGCCTCCTGCTAGATCAGGTTGGCCAAGGCCCCATCCAACCTGGCCTTCAATACCTCCAAGTATGGGGCATCCACAGCTTCTCTGGGCAACCTGTGCCAGGGCCTCACTACCCTTACAGCAAAGAATTTCTTCCTGAAGTCTAATCTAAATCTCTCTTCTTCTAGTTTAAAACCAGCCCCCTTGTCCTTTTTACTGTTATTTGTTTAGCTGAAGTACAGCTTTTCCTTTCAGATGTGATCAGCCATGCCTCTGCCACACCAAAATGAGGCAATTACAAAGCAAGCTGCTAAGGACTATTCCTTCCAGCCATCCAGAGACTGAAACACTGGAGAATACAGAACCATTTAAAAAGGGCAATAAATGAAGTCAGTAAGACTCCTACAGCAGAATGCTTGGAAGCTTTTTGCTGAAGCAAGATGTAATGCTGTTCCTCTCCCATGTATTGTAAATCCATATCAACAGCTGACCTCACAAACAATGCCTTTCTCCTGCTCGTTTCTGAACTAGACTTTGCATAAGAAAGCCACTGAAAAAAAAAAGAATTATAAGGGTTCAAGATCATATTGCCGTTATTTACAGAAAAGATTATGGTACTGTCCTGTAGCACAGAATAACATTCGTGCCATGAAAAGAAGAAGTAAGTATTACTAGCCCATAAGCAACAATCAGGCACGTGAACTTGTAGTGGGCATCATCACTGTTTGATCTCACTTTGTCTATACCAGCAACTGCAGACAGTGTCAGGATTTGAAACAAGCCGGTGCTATTGCTTTACACCATGAACCACAACACGTGGAGGAAATAGAAAAATGTGCTTTAAGCAGTTTTATCACTATGCAAAGCTTGCTGGTGGTTTTAAAAATTGCCAGATGGGCATCAAGGCCACATCGAGCAGATACAGCTTAGCAAGTGACATTTCGGCCGCTAATGCTAAAACAGCAAGCACACAACACTCAGTGTTGCCCCACTTCAGATTCATCAGCTCAATACAGCTGCTTTCTCAATTAAATTAAATTGATAGTTCACCTGGAAGTTAGTAACTCAGGGCTGGATAAATTTAGTATAGTTATGTTAACTTGATAAGTAAATACAGCAGAGAACTAGAGAAATAACTTGTACTGAAATTATTTTCAATTATTTGTCACTGCAAAAAATAATATATGCAGGTTTGCAATCTAACCAAAATCATAAACTAGTCACACATGGCATTACTATGCACCTCCATCTTGAGGTATAGCTTCACCTTCTCTAACGCTACAAAATTCTGCCAATACTCATAATCATTTTTCTTCAGCTTTTGTTGCCCTTCCAGTCCCAGGTTGTCTTGAGCTACAGACTGGAGGATACATCTGGCTCATGGGATCTGTTTTATCTGGTTCAGAAGTTATGGTTACTTTCCAACCAAATGAAAACCTAAGGCTTTGGCTGCCTTCAAACCTTTACCACTTTTCTTGAGATTTATTTTACAAAGATAGCGTTTTACAAATTTATACTACTTATTTCCTGTCTTGTTTTACCACAATAATTAAAACAGCTACTTAAAACTGTGTGTCCATTTCTGTATTAGGAATCAAACTAGAACAGAAATTAACAGTAGTTCCTTCAGCTTTACGATGGGCCACGCTGTCCCCAGACTTACTTTCTCACAATAAATAAATAAATAAGTAAATAAAAACCACTATGAAATTCCAGGGAACAAAATTTTGTTGGTATATTAACGTTTCATCTTGCATAAATTTATGTTTCAGCAGTTATGAAAATGAGACAGCTGACAGTTGACTACTATATGTGAACAGATGCTGTGAAAGCTTCCCTTTAAATAGTTCTGTCAATGCAACGTCAATTTTAGGAGTGACACCACTGCTGTTCTAGGACATGATCCTGCAAACTCTTATTCGCACAGGGAGCCCTGCTGATTTCCACAGAACACGCACACTTGTAAGAGACCAAAAAGTCAGGTCCTTAGCTGCAGAGCTTTCCTTAGCAGTGACTGACAAATACACAACAAAGTTTTTAGCAGAGCAGAATACCGTGGCTTGGGGCAATGCTGCTGACAATCAGTACTAGCCTGGGCGTTTTCTTTCAGAAGTTACACGAAGCATATTAAATATGATTAAGGAACCATTACAAGATCGACCACGTAAAGATAATAATATTTTTTTTTTAAAAAATCACGAGAAACGAAGCTCGCCGTATTAAGCAGAACTTTGAAAAATTGACGCGCCCAGCAGATGGGCAGAGCCCGACCGCAGCACCCCGGAAAGCGGCGTTAAATCCTGCAACAGCCGAGCAAGCGGCCCCCCCGCCTTTGTCAGCGCCTTCCTCACGGTGCTTCTCCCGGGGGGGGGACGCCGCCGCCGCCCCTAGGAGCCCGAGGGGGGCGCCCGCCGCGCCGGGCTGGCTCCGTAGCGGCCCCGCGGTGCTGAAGGACAGCTCGGGGCGCACCGGGAAACTCGGCGGGCGGCGGCTTTCGGGGGTGGGGGGGCTCGGCTTCAGGCAGCCCGAGGGGTTGGGGGGTTCGCTCTCGGGGGCACGGCTGGGAGGGTTGTTCGTCCGTCGGGGCGCGCAGCGAGGGGCGGCACCGCCTGCGCTGCCCCTGCCCCCCCCAGCCCCCCTCGGGAGCACAAAGCGCGGACGATCGGGGCCGAGCCCCTGCCTCCGCGGAGCCGCCGAGCACACAAAGGCGGCCCGGGGGGGTGGTGGGGGGCGTGTGGGGGGCGCCCCCTCCCCTTCCCGGCACTTACCTTCAGCAGAACAAAGAGCCAGAGGAGGCAGGAGCGGGCCCCCGGCCCCCCCTGGGCTCCCCGCCGGCGGCGGCCGGGCATCGGGGGGCGGCCGGCCGGGGGGGGCTGCTGCTCCTCTGCCCCCCGGCCCCCCGCCTCTGTCCCTCGGCTGCCTCTGCCCGGCTCCGAGCCGTGCCCGGCAATGGCGAATTGCGGCAGCATCAGGCGGCCGGCGGCGGCGCCGACCTCCCCGCCGAGCGGCGCATCCTGCCGCCCCCCGCCCTTTTATTTGGGATTTGCGGCGGGCGGAGGAGGAGGAGGAGGAGGAGAGGGAGGAGGAGGAAGAGGAGGCGGCGGTGCCGGCAGCGGGGGGGTGTCTCTCCTCCCTCACAGGAGTTTTAGCGATCTCGCCGCTGCACGGGAAGGGGTGGGGGGAGCCGCCCGCCCGGCCCGGCACCGCGGTCCCCACCCGATGAAAGGCGACCCCATGGGGCTGGGAGCCCCCAGCCGCCGCCCTCGCTCCTCTCGCGCCTCCCTTGCCTTCCCCGCCCCCAGAGAAAGCGGGCAAAGCCGTACACGCACTCCCTGCCCAGCCTCTTCTTTCCGTCCCCCTCCCCCCCCCCCCCCCCCCCGGCAGCGGGGGACAGAAATGCCGGGGTACGGAGCCAGCCGCTCTTCCTGGGCACCCCCAGCCCCGCACGGGGGTCCCGGAGCTGCAGTCAGCACCCGGTTACCAGCGCCACACACAGGGGTTGGAAACAACGAGGTTCAAATCTGAGCCTGCAAGGGGTGTGGGGGGTAATGCCTCGTCCTATCCCATCAGGTGCTCAGGACCAGCGGTTACACGGGCACACAGAGAAAACTGAGACCACGTTCCTCCATCCTCAGTTGCTCGTTCGGGGCTATCTATAACCATGAGGATGGCCAATCTATTCCTCTTTGCAAGAATCTTGCTTAGTAAGACATCCCCAGAGCAACAACAACAACAAAAAAAACATACTCCACCACTAATATCAGGATGGTCTTTCTAGAATCAAAACCTTACATCAGCAGCTTTTTGTTACTGACTGCTCTCTCACTCCCACCAGTATACATCTTCGGTGCAGCTGTCTGAGCTATAACCAATACCGATCTGAGCACAATAGGACCATACATTCTATAAAGCTGCATCTGGGGCACTGTATTTCAAAGCAACTTCAGATCCAGGTGTAGATCCACGACCTGTAATATTGGGCCACCACTTATCCTTAACACATACACACACACACACACAAATAAAAAATAAAAAATGTCTGAAAAAATTTCAAGTTTGTTTTCAAAATTTTTAAGCCATTAAGGCAAGATGTATGTTACTGTGTTAGTGCAGGAATGTCCTTTAAACTGAGCAACAACAAAGTTGTTTTCTAACATTGTTAATAAATCAGATGATAATGAATTAATGTTTCAGGAGACCTGTCTGGCTTACATGTGGCATATTTTTGATTTTCATGTAATTTAGATCTTCAGTCAACAGAAGCTGGATTTCAAAGTAGCCAAAGGCAGAGAGGGATGTGCTTATTTTCCACTGAAATGTGCCCTTAAGCAGTGATTTGCCACACTTGATGAGGATTAATCCAGAAAATTAAAGAGAAATTTAGGTCCTGGGTAACTACTGGCACAAAGCCCAAAATCACAGCTCCAGAAGGAAAACGCTATTCATATCTTCATTTACAAGCTGGGGACAGAAAAAGACCTTCTCCATACTACCAGTGAAGGACATGGGCCTCTCATGGGTAGCTGTCACTCATTTTGTGTTTGGAGTATTATCTGAAATTGGTACGCAAAAGGTTAACCATTGATAAATTTTCCTTCAGTGCACACAGGTTTAGGATGAAGAGCGAGGTTATCTGAAAGACAGGGGAGTGAATTTCTTTAGGAAATTAAGATTGCCATCAGCACTCAAGAGCTGTAGATTGAACTTTAGGCTAGGGACTTTTTGTTTACTAAGTAAAATAAGTTTTGACATTAAGATCATACTTTATGCAATCTTCCTTCTCCAATATTCCATCCAATTATGATATTCAAGTGCTAAAATTATAATGGATTTTTTTTTTTCTTTTTAAGTATCTTAGTCTTCAGTCTTGTTTGAATACAGTATAGCATTGACTCTCAGAAAACACTATCTGAATCAGAGTTAAAAAGTGAATGATAACTGAAAGAAATAGTGTTTCTGGAAGGAAAACTTTGATAAAAGGCTGAGATACTAAGACAAGTTTTGTTGTGGCAGTAAAGAGAAATACAGCCAAGACAATACAAGAATCATATCCTTTTTTAAATTATGGGGGCCTGGGGTACCCAATCTTTAAAAAAAAAAAAAAAAAAAAAAAAAAAAAAAGGTGCTTTGGAAAATTTGGGTATTGGAACAGAATCCTTCAAAAAATAGTTAAGATGTTTTCTGCTAAGTAAGGTCAGGATTGTGTTAGACATGGGCAGTAGGACTGTTTCTGCCAAGGGAAGCCTACAGCTAAGTAGGCAAAGGAGATATATGTGAGTGAAGCTAACAAGCAGACCTTAGCTTGCTGGAGAAGCTGGTTCCAGGCTTTTTCAACAGATGAAACCTGGGAAGTTACACCAAGCAAGTCTTGTGAATGCAGGAAGGTAGGATCTGAAGGAGGAGCAAAAGAAGTTGTTCTTTTCTGAATATGAGGTGTGAAAAATAAACACATGGGAGGGAAAAAAAGAAAAAGGAACAGCAGAACAGCAAAAAGGAGGACAAGCTTATTTTTTTCTAGCATCTAAAGAAGAACAGCAAGCCTTATTAATAAAACAACAAAGCTATAAAAATGAGACTGCGATATCTTCCATTTACTCAAGGAATAAGAAATAGGGCAACACGTGAGTGTTTGTAAGCAGTCAGTAAATGAAAGACACTGATACAAGGTCATTCCAGAAGCTCCAGAAGACCTCCAAGGCCTTATCCACCAGTCAAACACACACCAACAAGCCAAAAGGCTCCCTAAGGCTCTACGAACCATTGCATTGCCCCAGAGGGAAAAGAAGGAAGGATTCAGCAGCAACTGAATACTTTGCAAATTAATCTGGATTTTCTTTATTTGAATGAAAAACTTGCAAACAGTCAAAAGATAGCAGAGAAGTGCTCAAATGGGAAACCCATTTTGGAGGCAAACATGGTTTGTTTTTAAGCAAAATACGGTGTTTTGGGCTATTTGGCCTAAAACGATTTTTTTCCCCAGAACTTATCATAGGTCCCATGTAGCATTATAACAAGAATATGGCAAAAAGCAGGCCAGAGCATGCTGCATTATGAGCATTTCTTCTTCTTCTATTTTCCCTCTGTGGATGTTACAAGCATATACTTGGAAGTCTTCCTAATTTTTCAGGGACTATGATGTATGCTGCGGTGGCATTAGAGCAGGTTTAAGGGACTTTGTTTCGCTCTAAATCCACCTGGCAGAATTATGGTGAAACAGAATTTGGAGCACAGGGACCTAGCAGTAAGGTGCATAACAAAGTGTTATGAGGCAGCTGAAATTCCCAGAGTCCTGTCTGTGCTCACTAGATTTACTGTAAAATCTGACGATGAATTATTTTGTGATGTGCAGTATGCAGGAACATGATAAAGATATTTCAAGGTATTACAGGATGCAGATCGCTAGAAGACAAAAATCGTTAAAATAAAATCCTCCTGCATTTTAAGAGCACCACCTACAAGCAGGACTCCACATCACAGATACTTTGTCAAGAGCTTCTCAAGGAGCTTTCATGACCACTTGAAGGTTGTGCTAGTGACAATGCTAGAGCCCTACCTTCAAATTAAAGACCCAGTGAATTAAAACATCTGTAGTTGCTCATACTCGCTGACTTAATGAATGTAACAGCCTAACTGAATCAGCATTATAAATCACCCTAGCTTATTAGAGAAACATAAAATTAAGCTATTTCCTTTGTTCATGCATTTATAAGAAGTGTTCCTACTTGTAACTTACATGGACTTACTGTCAAGTTTACAGTAAATTCTCCCCTTGCCTCTGAAAATCCCAAAGTAAAACTCAGATCTACCAAGTTTGGTTGGCTGAGGGGGAAAAGCTGTGAATTGTGAGATTTTTTCTCAGCTGCAGTATAAGCCATGATTTATATGAAGCTTTACAGGCCTCAGCAAGTCTAGATAAACATGGCATGAAATGAGGTTTATAAAAAAAAAAAATAGAGTAGAAGTCATCCTAGAAGTTTTGAAGCAAAGCTCTTTTTCAGTGGCAAGTGTTTTTATGAGACAAAAAAGCGTGGATCCTTCTTAAAAATAGATTTTCACCCAAAGTCCTTGCATTTCAGTGACAACAATGGATAAAATGATAAACAAGTGCAAGGGTGGCTGGAATAGTGTTCATATGTTGCCACTTAGACATTGAAGTGCAAATTTATCTTAGCTTTCTTTTTGAAAAGTACAGGCCCTATGACTTTTGAAAGTATGTCCCACAGTCCCCCTAACAAACAAGTTGACAGCTTTTTAAGATTTGTCTTTTCATAACAAGAATGATTGACACACTTCAAACATACAACCTGAACAGCTTCCAAATGCTTATTAGTCTTTCAACACAGAGCAATGAACTGTACCACAAAAGGTCATTAAAAAAATCAAAAGTCTCTTTGGCACTGAATCTCTTCCTTCATAAATAAGTTTATAAAAATGTTTTCTCTGATACTTCCTTCATTTAACACTGTGCAATATTCACAGAAACAATGTATGGAATTAACTGCTTTTGCAGAAGGTTAGTAGACGCAAAAGTCAGTAAGACTGTTTGAACATTTAAATTGATGCTACAGAATGCCTGAGAAATTTCTGCGAGCTGAGTTTTAGATTAAGAAAAAAAAACATTCATATGTATTTATGTTTTTTTGTGATCTATTTAATATTTGATCAACCCTGCCTGTTATCAGTAAATGGCTTTTTCTTATAGTTCTTCAAGTCTCAATAGATATAGTTAATTAAAAAAACAATTCTACTGTTTCCAATTGTGCTTATTTTGTATTACTGCCTGTATATTTCCTTCCAGATATAGCTGAATTCTCCATGATCTGAGCAGGTCAAGGGCACATTCACACTAGAGAAAGAGGGAGCTTGGGAATTTCTGGCTGTCATTAACACCCTTATGAGAAAACTGAAAAACAAAAACAATAGTCAAGTGATCTTTTCTGCTTAAGATGAATTAATCTTACTGAGGATTACCCCAATCCTCCTCTGCTTTAATATTGCAGAACCATCCAGGTTCTTTATCTCCCCCCAGAAAAACTGGAAGGAAAAATGTCCAAAAGAAAGACTGGATCCTGACTCGTTCCAGTCAGCCACAGACTTTAGTACCTTTCTCCTCTAAAATATACTGACTGCCTCTGACACTCAGAGGCTCTATTGATTCACAGAAATCTGAGTCATACTTACAGGAAACATTTCTCTCCCCAGAAATTTACAATAGGAGCTGCAATTTTGCACAGATAACATCCTACTTTTTCTTTCCTGGCATCTATGCTAAAATATTTTCC